GGGTTTTGAAAGTAGAATCATTTTCTGAATCGATCGGTATAATAAAAGATGGGTCCAACTTAAGCCTGTTTGCGTGTTATGTACAACCGCACTACGTTAATATACCCTGTACCACAAGTGGTGTGGCAGATTTGACATTTTAAACGTTGTACTTACATTATAGCAACGCTCTGCATAACACTTCTTCCATTTGATCTTCAATGTTAATTTACTTAAACGACGTGAAAATATAACAAGAGAGGATTAGGAAAAAAAAAGGAAAAATCTCAAAAGTCGTGTAATGGGAAGGTAACGTCATAAATCTTATTACACTTATTGAATTTTTGATTTTTTCATGTACGTCTTCATCTTCCATATTAAATTCTGCATTCATTAACATGTGGGTCTATTTAACATTAATGGCCCTAATAGTCCGACTGTGTTAGTTGTTGGCTGTCCAAGACACGCTACAGATGCTACTAGAAGAAATGTATGGAACATACTTTGATGTTATAAAATTCCATATCTGATTAAAAGTGTAGTTAAATTAAAAAAATCGATGGCGCCAATAAAAGAAGATCATGTTTATTAACACTAGAAACATAGGATCCTTAATGTGATCTTTAAAGAATAGAAGAAGAAAAATATTTAAATGTTCCAAAATTTTTAGGTCGTTTTTATTTATTTGCGAAGATCTTTAAGTCTTTATAATCAAAATTTTTCTTCTTGGTTTGGTATTCGCGAAGCCGATGCTATAGTACATATATTTCCACTAAAGCGGGCCTATTCAACTAACGCTTTATGTGGAATTGCGACCGTCGCAAAAATGGAGATGGGTAGATAAAATTCGGCACAAACGCTCCTTAATGGATTGAAAATTGAACAAGGACGACAATCACAGTTGGCCACGGCCCACTATTGAATACCCTACACTTACTAAAGTAAGACGTTATATGGGAAGTGGTTGGAAAAATGGCCCGATTCGAACCATTTTCAATAGTGCCTCTCTCTGGACTAAAACAGGTCGAATAAGAAAGACAGATTTACAAATGGACGGACAAATATAGATCGATGCAAAAAGTGATCTCGAATCGATAGGTAGAAAAATACTTCAGATTATGCGACCTGTAGGTTGATCACGAGAACGCAAGACGGACAGGCGGGCATGCAAGTTTAGAATCAGTTTCTGGGTCGATTGGTGTAATAAAAGGTGGGTCTATCTCAAGCCCTTCTGAGTGTTGCATATATCCTTACAAACATAATATAAACTTGGACCACAAGTTGCGCAGAAGATACTTTCCAATCGTAATTTCACAAGGAAAGTGACCCGGATTAACCTACTTTAAAAAGTGTTAGTATCAAAAAAACGATCCAATAAGCAAAAAGCGGGCATAAAAACTCAATTATTTAGCGTGGACGTGCTAGTAAATTTTTTAACCTTGGATTCTTAATTGATCGAGGAGAATTTTTGCCGAATTCTAGTTTCCCATTTTCATTTTTGCAACTGTGGCAATCTAATAAAGAAAATGGACTAAGTTGTCGTACTGTGGTATACAGGACGAAAGTGGCGGTACTTCCAACAGTAACAGTAAAAAGTTTCGGAAAGAGATTTTGAACATAATAACAAGAAATTACAAGAGAAAACATTACAGTGGACCATGGTCCACGATCAAATACCCTACGGCACTTTGATTAATACATTCATTCATTTAACGACTTTTTGAAGAAAGTTATTGTCTGCGGAAAAGAGGTCCGAATCGAACTATATTTTTATAGCGTTCGCGCTTGCGCCAAACATGTAAGTGTAATATTTTGCAAAAAAATTCAACAAGAAAGAACGAAATGACCGAACTCGACATTTGACATTTCTTCAAAAACTATATCAATAACTTCAGAATTCCCTGAGGCATTGTATTGTAGAGAATAATATAAAATTTTGACAAATTTTCATCTTCTTAATTTTATTTGAACATGTTATTAATTAATAAAAATGTTTATGAATTACAATAATATGTTTGGTGCGGCGCGGCGGGATGCATCCGTTCCCCCTTGGCCGACTTAAATGGTGCCGCAAGTCACCAAACTCACCAACAAACTTTTGCGCCGATTACAATTTTTTGACATTATTTCAGATATGGTGATGTATATTAGTAAATTTTTACTGCTTCTTTAAGTAATGTTCAATTTTCCCTGTATTGCAATAAACTACCATAGTTCGAAAGTGTGTGCAATTAATATCTTGTCGGCTTTTCTAAAATTTACAAAACTGTTTATACAATAATGTACGCTATTTCTTAGATATGTTTATAATATGAATGAAATTAAAATTAAAGCTTTAGTCATCTCATCTTTAACATTATTGTAGATATTGTTCTAAATTTTGAGAATGTGTTCATGAAAGGTCAGTAACATCGTTTACCCTTGAAATGTATGCATATATGACCAATTGTCGTTAATAAATTTAAAATTTTGTAACTTTGAAGCATGCAATTTCGTTACAGACAGAGAGCATCGCGTACGATGTTTTTAACGAGAAAGACAACATTACTAAAGTTGTTCAATAAAACTTGCATGTCATAATAAAATAAGAATAGAAATAAATTTTGCAGATATTTTCATATAAAATTGCAATTAATTCGCCTTGATTTCCCGAGCAGTTATAGATGATTCAAATGTAAAGTGATTTTAGTTTGCATGTTATTCAATATTGACATTCTAATGCTGTGAGCGTTCCTCTTAAGTGCCTCGCCTAAAATCTGTCATAAATCTTCTAAGCTTCCGACTTTCTATTCTAAATTATAACCCGTGCTTTTCCGTTCGAAACTAAAAGGTACGTTTCCTTGTATGCTTTTCATCAGAAAGGATTAAAATGCGACAGATTTCTGAGCTAATCGGGAGCAACTAAGCTCAATACAGAAGAAGAGGTTTCTTGGCAAAAAAGATCTGATTCGTTTAGATGAATCTCCGAAAATACTGCCACTTATATAGGTTCGGAAGCTATTCAAAAGAATTCGACAACGTGTCGACTTCAATGTCGTCCCATCTTTTTGTTGTGCAATATCGATGTTAAGAAAATAAATAAATGTAAAACACTATTTTCAGGATTTGGTTACAGTTTTTTTGAGCTCATTTTAATTGATTTTTTTTTTAAGACAATAAAATGTTATGGTCGCTTTTATCTTAAAATATACAATTGCCATGCTAGGTATATTTACGCTTGTCAGTATTCAGCGTCATCAATATGTAAAAAAAATCAGTAATAGAACTTTAAACGCCAATAAAAATAATAAAAAAAAAAATGAAAGATTACTTTCTTGAAGAGGAAAGTTTCCTTGGGGATGTTTTCAATCGCAATAAAAAAAAAATGCCATTTTCAGAAAAAAAATACATACAAAGAAGATTGTCACAATTTTTTATACTACTTTTAAAATCAAATAACTGTCCAATAAATTATACAAATAGAATTTTATGCTTTCTCTATTGTTATTGTTAATACGATTGTACAATTGAATCGAATCGGAATCCCTGTGTAGGATTTAAGGTGAAATTTCATACAATACAAAAGAATAATACTTTTTTATATATAACTTTAAGCTATGTCTGTCTCACACACTACACATACATACATACATATATAAGGTCTACAATCGAATGGATATAGAATAAAAGATTCTTTTCACAACTTTTGAACCATACAATTAGACATAATTTTTGAGATTTCAATATATTGTTTGATCTGCTGCTCAAAAAATAAAACAAACCACGACTAATAACAATAAAAAACAAACCAATTTTAATACCCGAAAAATATTAAATAGAAATTTTCCCTAAATTTTGTTCGCAATTAGTTTTATCTTTAGGTTATTGCTGCGATTTTTTCCTGAGAAATGAAACGTGTAATGCTGACAGTACCAAAGCGGTGTCCAGTTCTTTGTGTGTGCCTTTCTCACTGTCTAAAAAAATTTCAGAAGCACGATCATGAAATCTGGCCAATACGCGGGAACGATAATCTGTTTAATGAAAGAAACTCCAATAGTGAATCATTTTTTCTAACATTTATCAAACTTTCTAATTCTTACCTACTATGCTGGCCAAAGGATTTCCTGTTAATCTGAGGGTTTCCAGTAAAGGTAAACAGGCAATATTATCGACTTCCTCTATGTCCTCTATTAAATTACAGCTTAAATCTAAATTTACTAGCGATAAAAGCTTACGTAAGCCTTTTACGCTTTTCAGTTTGTTTTGAGCCAAATTTAAAGTGATCAAATTACCCAATTCCAAATGCCAATTTATGCAATCACTTATCAAATTTACTGATAACGTCAGTGTTTGCAAGTGGGGTAGTTCAGCTAAATTTCTAATATTTTTTAAACGATTCTGTTCCAAAACTAAAGTCCTCAACTGTGGTACCAAGCGTACACTTTCATCAATTTGTGTTAATAAATTGCCTGAAAAATTCAATTCATTAATCTTTGGCCAATTGGTGCAGCTTGCAGAAGAACTGGTAATTGGACCTTGCACAGCTATATCAGCCTTTGTAGGACTATTAACGATAACATTTTCTTTATGTACATTGTCACACAATAAAATCTGATTAATTGAAGTCGTGGTAGTATTGTGAACACAGATTTTTTGCAAATTTGGTTTCAATAAACCAATATCCAATATATTCTCCGGGGGCAGCGCATAAAATTTCAACGTATGTATGTTACGAAAAGCATTCAAATTGAATTTTAATTTTTTAGGTATAATATTGCTACTCCCTATAGGCACATCCACAGCATTATAATCGCTAGCAAAACTATCATGTCCCTGTTTGAATACGTAGAAACGTAATATTAGTACTTTTATAGATTTTTTCAATAATTTTTCTTAATACCTTCACTGGTGTCACTTTCAATATCTCCAATTGAGTACAAAAATCCAAGACGTGAGAGAAATCAAATTTACCCCTATTTTCGATGTTCTCGGGAGGGCAAGGCAGATTTAAACGTTCGCTAATGGCATAAACCTTTCAAAGAGTTTTATTTTTTCTAAGCTTTAAAATTTGTCCTCTTATCACTACTAACCTGTAAAGCTGAGAAGTGAAATTGTTTTCGGTTGCTTAATAATGCTTCGCCACTTTCAATGAAAAGTGTAGCTAAATCTTGGAGCAAATAGATAATGTCGTACTTATTAAATTCCAGAAATTCAGCTAGTGCCCGAGGTATTTGAATGCGAAAAAAAACCATTAACTCACGCAGATATTTTTCTAACTTTTGACGTCTCTCTTCTAGAAATGATGGATTCTTATTGCCTACGATCTAGGCGAAAAAAGGTGAAAATAGAATATTAATATTAGTGAAAAGCTGCATGTTTCGACTTACCTTTTTCGGAGGTAGCAATTTTTTCGATATAGCTATTTCCTCTACTAATTTTTCATTAAGTTCGTCAAAGTCTTTGTATCGCCTTTCCACCAGCCATTCCACTTGGACCACCCGTACCCGTACCGTATAATAAGTGACGCCTGACGATTCAAAATATCTGGGTATAGCAATCTCAGTATCAGAATTTTGACGAAAATAGCAAGACATTTTTCAAATTAGTAAAGATGCTTTTATTAAAGATATCAATATTTTTTATGGTTTCGGTTTTCATTTGTCAGGTTGCTCATACTTTGTGTTATTACTAATCATATATATGTAAAAGCTAATATTGCACTTTAATTAAATTAATTTAACTATAAAAAATACTTTTTATTCATAAAATGAGAGTGAAATGAAAATTCAGCTGATTTTATAACTCTCTCCGAAATATACGGGCTAAATTGAATTTGCAACAACAAAATACATATACGAAAATAGTGGTTTTTTCGATAGGGTTGCAATTTGACTTTCTCGCATGTTAGTGAGGTCTACATAATAGAAATTTTACTTATTATCAATTGGGAATAAATCTCTAAAACAAAAAAAAAATTTAACGAATTTGAACGAATACAATGAACCCGGTTTTTCCGTAAGATGTATTGAAGAGGAATTTCTGAAAATGTTTGCTTTATGCGAATTTTGAATTTGTATGCATAGATTAATGCGATGAATTAATAAATTAAATTCATTTTTTGCATATATCTAAAAAAAACGTTTTCAATGTTGTTTTTTTTTTAAATGCGAAAAAAGTATACGTTAATATTGTTGTTTGTATATACAGTTGTTTTCGATACCATATGTTGTTGCGCCAAAGGACTTTTTCCTTGATTTGGTGATCTGTATTTTAATTAAGCAATAATTTAAAATTATGCAAATGCTGAATTATTAATTATCACATATATACATAAACATAAAAGACGAAAGTGACTATTAAAAGCATGGAATTTTTTGAAGACTGCGTCATTGTATTCGCGTTTCAGGTGAGTTTTTCAGTATAAATGACAGACGGTCTTATTATTGTGTACTGGTTAGCTTCTCTTCTTTGCAGGTGGTGCTTTTTTGTTAAGCAGTTTTTTAAAAAAAATTTCTGAAATTCGCTACATATCTGTGTGACTTATATTCTTTGTGATATTTGCTTTATCTATAATCATGTTTGAACTAATCATTTTTGAAATTCCCAGTGCTTTGGAAAGCAGTTCACGTCATTTTTATTGGCGTTTAGGGTTAACAGTTTTGCTGTTAACGGTGATTGTCGTTATTTCATTGCATATATTTTATTCCAATATTCATAGCGTAACTTTCGTTAAGTGCTTGTTAGTTTCAGAAAATTGCACTTTTTCATATCCTTACCTTTTCATGCAATGCCTGAAAAATGGGCACGGATCATAACGATGAATTGTTGGCTTGCTTCTCTTTATGGTCCACGGCGAGTGCGCTATCCATTTCCTTTGCTTAGCGCTTCTTGTCACGGACGTTTAGTTTATTCATTACCTCCGCGGCCCGTTTGTATCCCAATTCGTTCGCATACCATAGGTAGGCGGTATAAGTTGTTCCTGCGTGTTTGGTAGTTTCTTGGTTTAAGTTTCTCATATTGAGCCTAAGACTTGCCAGCTCATATTCCACCATGTCAACGGTTACTGCCCAGTCCAATTCTTTACTTAGTTCGTCAACTATCTCTTTGTAGTCTGCTTGGTCCGCCGGACTGTGAATACCCTACAACTTCGGGTATTTACGTAACAATCTGCTCAAAATTTCATGCGGTATTAATACCATCGTTTTTACTATATATCCTATTGTTCGGAAAACATAAAAAAATACAAAAATAATGATGTCTCAAAAAATGCAATAATGTAATAATTTTATTTATTTATATTTTATAATTACAATTTTGTTTATTCATTTATATTTCAATTCACAATGGCAGATTTTATTAATGAATAAAGAATATATTGAAGGAGAGAGAGGACTTCTTATGATTTGAGGGGACCGACATAAATAAGGGTATACCAGTCGTAGACGAACTTTAAGAAACGACCGTAAACATGATGAGAAAAGACTCTGACAGTGAGGTAGAGGGGGAAACAGAACCGACCGATAGGCCTGACGGGACTATTACGTCTAGTATGCCTAATGCGGAAAGCCCTGTCATTACATTATACGCTCCAATATTTAGTAATGTAATTGATATGACGGACTATCGACATCAGCGCAGGCACCGCTGATGGCGGAGAATCGGCGGCTCAAACCCGAATTGGAACTCATGAGATGCTATTTGACCTATACCGATGCGATAGCCATGCACAAGCTGACAGGAGAAGTAGCTGACAGCGGAGTGCGAGACAATGACGCTCTCACAAAAGTCGTGGAAAATTTGACTCTCCATTGCAAAATCACCCAAGTGCACTTCGACGAAGTGTTCACGGAACAGAAGAACAGTATATTCGCGACGATGTAACACATGGATGCGGGTATGTGAACATGAGCGCAACGAAGACCGGGGAGTACAAAACTGTCCTCGTCTTCCGAGCCCGGAGCCTGCTGACGAGGTTCAGCATTATTCTCCACTGCTTCCCCCGCACAAGACACGGTACAGGAATTGGAATGCTGACAAGGCTAAAAGAGAATCTGCAACTCTCTGACGAGGTTGGCCTGGACGTCAGAGCTGTCGTCTGCGGCAAAAAATTCTTTGTAAATTTCATAAAATGTGTGCACATCATGAGGCGAGCAGACGGCAGCACATATCGCGTACGCTTACTGTACGACTGCCCACACTTATTAGATGCGTTCAGTAGATGCGACTTTAGGCTAGTTGCGAACCTGGCGCAAATGTGTGCGCCCAGTTCTTCATTCTGGGACCAGAGAGGCTATATGCCTTTATATAGCGTACCATGGGGAATTGCCTATTCTGTGCAGTTCTGCATCGACATATAGGACGCAACACTCCAAGCTGCAACATATTATATATTATATATATTTTCGAAATTCTTTTTCCGAACTTTTTTTTAATTACTATTGTCTTTTTAATTTTTGATGTAGAAATTTCTTTAATTTTACATCATTATTATTATTATTATTGCTAAAATATCAAATTTATTTTATGGAACTATTTCTTCAGGGAGACCTCGGACTTACACGATGGCGACAGAGCGCAGAGGACGTGCGACTTGCTCATTAACATTACCAAGTTCGCGATCGCGATCCACCGGAGCTCCAGCAACGGAAGCACAGGAATGGGGCTCAAAGGCAGAAATTATTTGGAGGTTAATTTTATGGCGGACCAGCTCTCTATGGACAACCGTCTAACAATTACCAATTTTATTGCACTTATGGAAGAGCTGGTGCAGGCTTACCCTGGCATATCTGTAGCGCCGTGTTCCTTCGTGATGCGCGACAAAACTCTAGTCGGACGAGTTTTAAAAGTAGTTTAAAAGTAGACCCAAAAATTTACATATTCCTAAAGATTACCATTGCTTGAATCGAAATACGAAAAAAAAAAATCAAAGACCAAAAGTAAAGTTAAATATTCATATTAAATTGAAATTATTTTGACAATCAACAAAATACGGTTTAATTTTTTCTCCTGTAACATAACATATCACTTGGCTGCTTATATACAAAACTTTTTTTAAATTAATTTTTCCCTGTTTACAGGTTTCGATAGATAAAATTGATGAAGCTGTTATAAAAGGAGACGATAAAAATTTAGCATTATTACTAAAAAAAGAGAAGCTATGGTCACGAGTAATTTTTAAAAGCGGAACAACTCCGTTACATTTGGCTGCAGCAAAGGGTTTGTAACTTTTGCAATACTATAAAGCAACTAATGAAGAATATTCCTTAAAGGTTACAGTCGCTGCTTGATAATACTTTGCGAAAGTGCGAATCAGATCCAGCTTAAAGTGATAATTAATTTTCAAAATAACGATGGACTTTCGGCACTGCATTTAACGTCGCAATATGGTCACAATCAGTGTTCCAGAGAGCTTTTGCTAAGAGGCGCTAATTCAAATTTATGTAACAACGTAAGTATGTATCGGAAACTATGAAAATTAAGTGGATTTAGTTACTCTTGTTATTATCTTAACGAAAAAAAAAAAAAAATTAATAAAACTTTATTATGGAATAATATTATAAATTAGTCTTGCTTTTAGGAAAGCTGTAAGTCTTATAGTTAAGATTAAAACATATGGCAACATTACTTGTATTAAAGATCTTGTAATTATACGTGATTATATTAAAATATGAATAAAGCAGATGACGATCTAATAAGTAATTTTCTCAAACATGTCGATAAAATATAATGTATTTATTATTAACTCGAGGGACCTAAGTGCAACGTAGTAACAAAGCGATGTAAATATTGTCTGCCGAAGCGAGAATGAAACAAAACCGTTGCGTTGCAGTTCAAGTTTGATCGATTGAGGTAAGCTTTCGGCATTCGCTGCCTGCGCGTTTGCTTTCCATATTTGAATTTTTTATTTTCATGTCACATATTATGAGTTCATGTAGTTATCCAAATAGCGCTGACGACTTGCACTTACCAAGTTCCTTAGCACACGTAACTCTATTGTGAATTGCTTAAAATGTTACTAACATTAAATTATCTTAACGCGAATTGTACGTGAGCTGCTTACATCGAGCAGCCGCGTTTATGTTTTTATCTGCGCTTTATCTGCTGATTGAGCTGTCCAATATTTCTTGCAATTATATGCAAATTAAGACACAGGATAACTTTAAATCTTTCATTGTCTGTTGAAAACAGTAATATTTTGATCGCTTGCGTGTTGCTTTGTAGCCCCGATTTGTCATGGGGAAAGAGAATCCTAATACTTAGATACACTTGATACAGTTGTACTAATAATTCCGTTCGAATGTCGGCGAGAACATTGGTATATTATACAATTTTTTCATTGATTTTTTATCAATTTCTCCCGCCCCTCATTGATTTTGGAAGATTTATGATTTCAACAAGCAAGTTCTTGAGCGATCAGCAAGTATGTGTGGCCTTAATTTCCTGACCGAGGAGTCTTGCATATTGCTAGTAGGCACCATTGTTACAGGGTAAGCCAGGACTTGTTAGACACATTTCTTCAAAACCTAGCCCAAGGTGTCACCAAAAGTAGAACTAGGTCGTCAGTGGAAATAATGAAGCCGGCGGAAAGGTTTGAGAATCTCCGGATGTTAAAGTGGACAAGCGGCTTCAGGACTGTCGACGATTACTTCCTCATCAACACCATGGCCTACAGAATTGTAATTTTACGCCATTCGGCCTCGATGAGGAGTTACTCGGCGATTTGATCTTAAATCAAGTCCACAAGCATGAAGAAACCTACCTGCGGCGTTACCAAGCATGCATTTCATCCAAACAAAAGAAGATGACTGGCAAGAGGTGAGGTATGTTTTTACAAATTGTGTAAAGGGAAGTGGTCGAGTTGTCGCCAAGAACCCTAAAGACAAATTGCTCCTCACCTCGAAATATCTGAAACCGGCTTTTCCACCGCAAGAGATCCGCGATGCGGTCCGCCTTGCGTACGAGCGGGACATCGACAAGTGCGTGCAAGCAACAGTGGTGGCACGACTTGCCTTGGAAGGATATGAAAAAGTACAGCTTTCTGACATTAGCAACCATTTACCGAAAGTTATGCTAACAATTGAATAAAATGTATATAATGGAAAAAGGGCAATCACCATTAACAGCCATAATGGTCTTATTATCAGGTTTTCGAACCGTCAGTTGCCCTTATCAAATTATGGCATATTTATAAGGTAAACCTATAAAGAGCGTAAGTTTGAAGAAATTAATAGGCCAGTCTCTCAAATTGATTTAATAACTTTGGAAAGACGCTTGTTACTAAGAGTAGATATGCTTACCAATAAAAAGAAACGTATGGCTTTGCAAGAACATAGACTCATCAAACCAAGTCTAGATTATGGAACATATTGAGTTCCGTGATAAATCGGACAGATGTAGGAGGCGAAAGCAAGTAAGTTTAGCTTTTAAGAAAGTAAGGCAAAAGCCATGTATCCGTGTAAATTGCACATATTACTCAACTATGGATGGAAATTGACAGTTTGGATGAGTTGTTACGCCATATATTTTTTTAAAAGTTAATTATTTGAAAAATGTGCAAGAACGTCAGAAATGGTCAAAAACTCTATAGGGTCGGTATTTAATGCTCGTGGAAAATACTGTATAGTTAAAAAAGTAAAATAATGCATACATACATGTGCGCGATCCTATCCGATAGTATACAGTAAATGTTATATTCCATCGTGTGGGCAAGAAAGATCACGTTACTCGGGGTTTTGCATTGGTGCGGTTTTGATATAGATTGAGCATTCTGGAATCAACTCTTGGTAGGCCGTATTGTCGTAACTTCTATAAGGGGGTTGTTGCTAACCTTAACCAAGGTAGGCAAATCCCGTAAGAGTTTTCCGAAACATTAATCTTTTCTTATAAATTGCATTTCTTCGGTTCTTTTATCACTTTTCTTCCAGTAAATCATCAAAGACTTTATTAGTTTTATTATATTAGTTTCAATTCTTGCAAAAATTGTGGGCATATATTTCTGCTCTTGGGCATTATTGAATATGCCTGCCCAGTATTGTGTCATCATCACTCAAGTGTTTGGTAATTAATTCTTTAATTTCTATCACAGTTGGTTTAATGTGATATTTCTGATTAGCGCTCCGTCCGCTATTATTGTATATATTTGTCACAGAAGCCAACAAACTATGGTCAATCGTCATTACAATGCTATTACACATTAAGACAATATTTTTATATTTAAGAATTCCTGTGAAGAAACCATTTGTAAAAGTTTTCCCACTGATAAAACATCTTGCACTTTTTCAAAGTAAAAAAAAAAGTTTTTTTTTTTATATTTAATTTACAGTGTAATGTATAGAAAACTTGTTTTTTAATATGTTTGCATAAATAATTTTTAATTACTTTTTCTTTAAATAAAAGCTTATGAAAATAAATAAAGTAATATTATATTTATTGTGTCAAGGCGAGTCTTTATTTGTACATCGAGTTTTTAGACGTTTTTGGTAAATATATTACTGTCCATTTGCAAACTAGAGGTCTGACAATTGACAGAAAAACAAAATATTCTTTTTCCTAATTTTTGCTTATGCTAATTTTCCTCCACTTGAAAAATACATATACTTGATTGGGGTCTTTGATCTTGTATCTCAGCAAACAGTATGTCAACCATTAGCTGAAGGCCGAATATTTCGCCGATAATTGAAAAAAAAAGTATTAATTGAAATTCGGAATATTTTTTCCGCAGCAAGCTTGACTTAATCGAACCTTGTTTTCTTACTTTCTGAACATCAGCGACGGCATGCAAGTCTACATGACTCGAACTTGATTGTGAATATTTTAATGTCTCTCTATATATATATATATATATATATGTCTAATATTATAATATGTTCTAGCCGACTCTTACTAATGAGTAGCGAAGTTGGTCAGACGACGACGGCCAGCATTTAATGACGCGTGAAATCAAAAAATCCCACGAAAGGCTCGGATGGCAAAGAACCTTGATTAATCAATGGCAAATTGTTAGCCTATTTAGTCATGTCTCATAGTCCGGTAAAAGTAATTTTGCACCGGTTTTAAGTGACCATAATCCGTCTGAGTGGCCGAGTAGGTAAGAGTCTCGACTAGCAATTCAATGTTCGTCGGTTCAAATCTCAAGATAGAATTTTTAATAAAAGCCGACAGCCTTAGATGTAGGTGCTTTATGTCTTTAGTCTTAGAATTTCTCTGGCTTTTATTATAATAATAAGTGGCCATAATTGTGCCTTCTTCTTCTTCGTTTTCATATAGTTTGAAATTTCACCTGATTTCAGAAAGGCATTTCTCCGAAGCAATATAAATTTAAAACAATTTGCTAAGTTCTTAAGATAAGAAAATTATATAAGTTTTGACGATAAATAAATTCGAATTCCTCGTGTTATTCCTTATGACTGATGTTATTTCTTAGAATGGAAGATGTTGAGCACTTGCACGGAAAAGGCTAAATGCATGCAATTTTTCTCGGACTTTTATACCAGAACCTTGGTCGGTCCAGCTTTGTGCATTAGTTGTCAAACTCGGACATTTGTCGCCAGTTATATCAATTTGCCTTCAATTCTTAGCACCGGTCCGTTTGAATACTTGCGAAATTCGAGGGAAAAGATAAAATAGTCTAGGGACCTGTCGATTTCTTATGGGATGAATTGTAAATTTGGAGACTAAAAGAAAATGGCGAAAAATGAACCTGTGTTTCGTGTTAATCAAGAAATGGAAGCTGCACAAGCATCTGCTTGTATATATTGATATCTTGAAGAATACCGAAGCAGATGTAGTTTTCGCAATCTTCTCTTGATTTTCAAATTTAATATGAAATTCATAAACGATTTCGAGAATTTTATTTAGAAATACCAGAACAAAGAGACAGTTGAGAAATGCGCGAAAAATATTGCTATCAAAGTTGACATTTATGTCAACATATGTATTGAACAAACGGATGCAAATTGCTTCCAAACATCGAAGATTCTCCACATTTTTTAGAATGAATGGGTCTGTCGTTCGCGCTTTTTTTAATATTCTCCTAATAGCAGAAACTGTACTCGAACCGGGTACAAATCAACGAGCAAGATAAATAATCGGCAAAAGGAGGAATGCGACTGTGATCGACTGCTCACAACTTGGAAAATTTTTGAACACGTCTTGCGCTTAGTTTGCAGAATTCTGAATCGTCGTTACGCACTAAAATTAGATAATTTTTTTTTAAGAAGACGTATTTATATGTGTTAAAAAATAACTAGCAAACACGACTTGGGTCCGACGCGAATTTTTTATACACTGCTCGTGCCGCGTGATGAGAAGGAAGGAATGAATGTAGTATTTTTTATTTTCCACTAGGGGATTTTAATTTGCAAGCTGGCCGTTACTCAGCCTTTTTCTGTATTACCTCTAAAGCCGAAATATCAAAATTGTTCAATTTGTTTATTTTCAACTACATATGTGTGTTTTCATGTGCATTCATATGCGACATGCGTTGAGAGGTTGATATGCTTGTCAATGCTTTTTTTTATTTGTGTTTGGGATAGGAGGGCGCACGAAACAGTTGCAAACATGTTGCTGTCTGGTAAAATTTATTTTAGCTAAACAATAATCGTGATGTAGCTTTTTTGCATTCAAGCAAACATATAAAATAAAAGCTAAACATTCAATTCAAATATGCAAATATACATACATACATACAAACATATATACATGCATACATACATGCATACATACATAATTATATACATACATGTAATATGCATATATTTATTATATATAAATTTATGTTTGTATAAGCTACAAATCATTATCAACATTTTCAACCGAAACACAAATACTCATAAAACCATTACATGACTAAATTTACAGACAGATAGTCAGTCAGTCAGTCAGTCAGTCAGTCAAGCAAACCAGCACAACTCATCGTCTATTGTATATATATGTTGCTGTTGATCGACTATAAGAGTTTTCGTGTTTGAAAATACACATGAGCGCATACACATATGTGTGGACTTGAGTTTGTGTACAAAATTTAAATTTACTTCTCTAACCAAACTTTAAACAGAGTTAACCGCAAAAGTGTATTTGCTATTAGATACGCGTATAGATATGCGTACATACACACATACGTAAGGACATGAAATTGTTTACGAGTGCTAAAGGGCTGTATGTTTTTTAAGCTTGAGGGGTGTTCCTTGACTGCCTGTCAGTATATATGCATACGATTGCAAGAAAATGTCTAATAGTTGTCGTTCACGTAACCTGACAATAATAGTTAAGCAGACGTACACGTTATACATATCTATATGTAACCATATACGGCCAAGCAAATATTTATGAAGGTTATGTGTTATATACATGCATGTGTGTTGCTTTTATATCCTTCATTGTCATTCACAGACTTTGGTACACATTTGGTCACACATTTCGAATTTAGTAAATTTGAAATGAAATTGTGATATATGTATACATATATATTTTTTACAATATATTTAATAAAAAGTGTCGGAGAGAAATTGTTAAGATTATCTAGAGAAAAAACAA